TGCGGGCGTTGTTTCCCAGCCGCCTCCTCTCCTGTGCTTGTCCCTCTGCGTGTCCGTGTCCGTGTGTCCCTGTGCGTGTCCGTGTCCGTGTGCGTGTGTCCGTGTGCGTGTCCGTGTCCGTCTGCATGTCCGTGTGTCCCTGTGCGTGTCCGTGTCCGTGTTCGTGTCCGTGTGCATGTCCGTGTGTCCCTGTGGTGTCCCTGTGTCCCTGTGCGTGTGTCCGTGTCCGTGTTCGTGTCCGTGTGCATGTCCGTGTGTCCCTGTGGTGTCCCTGTGTCCCTGTGCGTGTGTCCGTGTGCGTGTCCGTGTCCGTGTCCGTGTCCGTGTCCGTGTCCGTGTCCGTGTCCGTGTGTGCGCGCAGGCGGGGGCGCGCTGTGTCCGTCTGTCCCTGCAGCACCCTCTGCCCGCCCGGCCGGCGCACGGCACTGCCCGGTACCCCGGGGCCGCTCCGCAGCCGCGGCAGCCGGGACAGGACAAGAGGGCAGCCGGGGACTAGTGCTGCCCGGGACTGAGGTGTCCGGGACTGAGGTGTCCGGGACTGCGGTGTCCGGGACTGAGGTGTCCGGGACTGAGGTGTCCGGGACTGCGGTGTCCGGGACTGAGGTGTCCGGGACTGAGGTGTCCGGGACTGCGGTGTCCGGGACTGAGGTGTCCGGGACTGAGGTGTCCGCGCTGGCAGAGCCCCTGAAGCGGGTTCGGGAGCTCTGGCACAAACCCAGGACACGGAGACACTCCAGCGTGTGGCAATCGCGGGGTGAAAGTGTCCAGCCCTAGAAAACATCCTAACTCAGGATGTGAGAGCCCCACATTTTCATTCTCTCTTTCTTCGGGTTTCTCACCAATCTAACGCCATTAACTTCTGTCGATGTCATGAGGGAAGCAGGTCTGACGGGCGTGCAGATAAAGACGAAGTTGTTCTTGTGCCCCTGTGTGTGCAGGATCAGACTGTAAAGGGATTTGAAGAATGTAGGTCATACAAAGAAGAGTAAGGAAAGATTTATTTCCCTTTGAGGTGGGTATGTTTATATAAGGCAGGGTTATCTGGTTAGATTTTGGGGTAGAATTTTCTGACTTTATGTGCTGGTTTTGCATTAATTGATAATTAATTGATTTGGTGTGTTGGCCGGGAAACTCAAATCAGCAAATCAGCAAACCTAAACCACTACACTTTACCCTTTTCTATTTTTTTTTAAATTTTATATTTTTAATATGAAAACTCAATAGAAAACTTAAAAATATAAAGGCTTTTCTATCTCCTTTTTGTCTTTGCCTTTTGTTTGAAAGCAGCTAAAATACTGTATAATAACAAAACAAAATTCTCCTGCTGTAAATGACATTATCCTTCAGAGGGTCTGAGTCTGCTGTGTGCTCAGCTCCCCCGGGATGCCCTGAGTTCTTTCAACTTGAGCATCTTCACTGGGAGCTGGGGATGTGAAGGATGTCCTGGAGCTAAAGCAGACCTGACATTAATGAGATGCTGTCATTTAATAATTGTGCTTTGTTGTCACTGCTTGTTGATTGCTGCCTTTGTGAGGAAATGCTGTATTTTTTCATTTGTAGGGTTTAGGCTCATTTCTAATCAAAATGCTTTGCCCAGTTAATTTCACCAGGCTTAAAAGGTGGCACATGTAGTTCAATGCATGTAATAAAGGTCAAGAAGCTTCTGTATAATTTAAACAACAAGCCAGAATGGAGAGCAAAGTTCACATTGCACTGTTAAGTGGAAAATCAGAGTTAAGTACATTCATTTACCTGTGATAACTGGATGGCAATACAAGACTTTCTAGTTGTTGTTGACTGTAGGGTATAAAAGTGACATAGGACTGAAAGCCTTTATTATTCCTCCCAATTATTGCCTGTCTTGAGAAATCCACTTCCAGTGCTAATGAGTACATTTCCAGTTCAATGCTATGAAAATCCATTCATGCCTGTGAGCTGAGGGGAGCTAACACCTAGGAGGGAAATTCTGCTGTTATGATGACCACTGCTGTTGTCTACAAGAGGAATTGATGAGATCTGAGGAACTGCCCATACCAAGGGGTGTCAAACAGAATGCCTGTCTTAACTGAACACTGTGTATGAACAGTGATGTGAATAATCCTTAACTTTCATTAGTTCCTAAACTATAATAACACAAATATACAATTCTTGATGTCTCAGTCAATATTCCTGCTCCAGACCAAGACTCTTACTTGGACATTGGTGGGGGGATCAGGTTATTTGGAAGGTGACTGAATTTTCTCTAGTGACTTAGCACCAGTTGACAAAGTACCCAAAGAACAATCTCCCAAACTGTGAATCATTCATTTTGGGGGAGGAGGGAAGAGCCAATGGCATGGCACAGAGCAGGGAGGTGTGTCACCTGTACCACCTGCCCTCTCTGCCTGACAGCCCTGCTTGCAAAAGTCAGAGGACAGTCTGTCCTCTTGGAGATCACCCTGGAGTGGAGGTGCATTTGAATCGTGCAGCATCTTGTTTTCCTGAACCCTCCCTCGTACCTCTCCTGTTTGCCTTGCCTTTCCTCCTCCTATTTCCTCCACAGCTATGACCAGCCTGAAGGAAATCTGTCGTGGCCTTCCTCTAAACCCTCTACCTGAAAACAAAGGTCGGAGAAAAGGAATACCCCATGCACCTGTGAGAACACCCAATCTCACTGCTCAGGAGAAAAAGGTAACATGGGGTTTCACAGGGCCTCATTTCTTTTTAGATAAAGGCAACCTGGGGCAGCAAACCTGATTGCCTCAAATGCTTTTCTGAATGGGAAGCTAACTTTGTGACAAATGTATTTCCATGGTGTTATAATTCAGTCTGTAATGGGACAAAGGACTGGGAGCTCTTCTGTTTGCTTCCTTTCTTCCTCCTCCAGAATAATTGGGTTGAGGAAGATTTTCTGCACAACACCTTCCATGACTTTGAATGGCTAAACAAGAAGCATTAGACTTCAATGCCATCAATCCAGCATTGTTTCTCAGAGGTGAAATTCAGAATGCTGTTGCAAAACCATTGCATATGTATGGGAGTGAAAGCTAACCCCTCCAATAAAATAAACATCAAAGGTCATGAATCAGCATCATGGTAGCAGCTATACATCTGTATATTTGCCTAAAAAATCCAAAGATTACTTATTTTAGCCAGTAGTCTGGGCATGCAATTTAGTGAGTTTGTAGGGAGTTAATTATTTGTCTTTAGTTGCATAATTATTTTCCTGTCTCTTTTTGTTTAAATAGTCTTCGTACACACCAAAGTAATAGTTGCATCACTTCATGTTCAAGACTAAAAAAATCAGCAGCAGAAGAAAATAATGGCCAATGGGTGGAGATCCCTAGGAATTTGTGTGGGAGAGGATAAGGTGGGTTTCTTAGTTTGGAAGTCTGTGCTTCATCACATGTAACATCACTTATACCGAGACATTCTGGTCAGAACACAGAAGTTCCTTCCCCAATAACAACTTGCACACAACTTCCTTGCCTTCGTGGGAGTTCCCCTGGCATCAGCAGTCAAATTCTTTTAAAGTCACTTCTACAAACAGAGGAGAGTCTAGTCAAAGGGTAGAAAGAGGAACAGCTGTGAGATATCCAAAGAGAATTTACTTCAATGTCAGGAGCATTCATGGCTGAGGCATCCTGTCTGTGCCTGGGACAGCTCAGACCCATGGAAATGTGGTTAGTAAGTGTGCAGAAGGGCTGAGGTGATGGCTGTGAAGATAAAGGAGTGGGGAGTGAGTTTCACTGCGTGTCAGAACCTTGCCAATCATCTCTGTTTTGTTCTTTACTGTTCCTAAATCACTTTTCCCCAAAAGTCTGATATAGCAGGAAGGAGTCCGTGTTTCAGGAGAGGAGACGGTGTCTCTTGAGAGGATGCCAAAGCTTGCTCTCTAACCTGTGGAGGGGAAGGTAATGACAAGGTCTTCACTCCCTATAAAGAAACTGGAATAGTTTCCTGCCTCCTTTAAGGTTTGGAGCAGCAGATTGATTTTCCTCCCCCAGCTGACTATGTAACATCCATCTCTCATCTCTCCATTTTACCTGCTGCATGTGATAAGAAGTCATGCTAGCTGAGTATATTTCATTAAACTATTAGAGATTTTAAGGCTTCCTTTATGATTTACTTTATGGTCAGTCCTCCACCTTAAACTCTTAAGAGAATTAGAGGCTCAGCTAGCATTTGTTTCATATCTGAAAGGTCAAATCTCTTTTTTTAAGAAGTGCCCCATGCTTAGAAAAGCATGTAGATGAAGGATTGTCTGTCTATAAGGTTTTTTTAAGTCTTGAGACAGGCTTCCAGATGTTGACAGTGTGTAAGGCTGAGCATGAGACT